GAGGGCAGCTCCCTAGAGAGGACAGGAAGTCTGTCAAGGCTGTGAGGAGATTTGCCCCAGAATGCTGCAGGAGGGAGAGCCACTTCCTGGGCGGGAAGGGCTGTTGGATAGAGTGGAGCTTTTGGGCGGGAAACCAGTCTGTGAGAATTGAGGTCGGTCTGCCTGAAGTCTGGAGCCAGTCAGGCGGTCGGCTGGAGTTTGCAGGAGGCAGAGAGGCCATGTTGGGAGTGGTGCTAATCTAACGTCCTCCAGTGGAAGCAAGTCCTGTGCCTGCCCTGCAGACCATCTAGACAGGGTATGTGTAGTGAAGGGAGAGATGGAGCGATTTATTATTCACCTTTATTTTGATTCTTCAGTTCACTGTTAATATGCCTGTATATAGTTGAGTGGTTTCAAAATAAATCCTTTTACTGTTGACATCGAGAAGTCCCTCTGTACCCCATAGTTCCCCCAGTCGCTTGGACACGCTAGGAGTGGGTTGGGGACTCTAAGGAGGAGAACAAGGGCAAAATTGCCAGTTGCTAACTCTCCAGGGGAGCCCCAAAGATTGCCAGGAAGCCCCAAGGGGGGTTCCTAGCAACATCAGAGGGAGGTTAGGAGGCTGTCCCGCCTAACCAGAGCCCAAGACAGGGACAGTGGTGGCAGCAATACCCGGAGGCAGTGGTGAAAAACTGCCCCTTCAGGTGCCAGGGCAGGCAAAGGAGGGGTGGGCAGAGTGGGGTCGGCCAGCTGACGCGGGGCCGTTCCGCCACACAGCCATTGGACCTTTCTGCATTCTCCTTTTAATTCATGTTCACCATGGTGTCCTCCAAACAACTCTGCACTCAAATTGAATTCAACCTTTTTAATCCAGGGTGGTTTGTTTTTTTCCATTCTGCACTAAAATCGAGTTTAACCTTCTTTTTATTCCGGGTTTTCCCCCCATTCTGCATTACATTACCTCCCTTCAGGTTTTCCCCCCATTCTGCATTACATTACCTCCCTGGTTTCAATCTGCTGTTGCCCTGGGTTCTTGGGATGCTCCTTTGCCATGAACTGAGGCCCAAAACTAGCATTTGCTCCACTGTTTTACCAAACCCACACTGGAACAGAAAAAATATGTGACTCAAAACCACATTCAAATACCCCAGGCCAACCCTGTACTGACTGCAGAGTCACCCCGAATGGCCATAAAATGGCCATAAATCTATGCAGACGGCTACCATAAAACCGAGAGATCAAAAGAAGGGAAAGCGACATGCAGTCTTGACACTGCCATAAAACCCGACAATCAATCAAAGTGAAAGGGGCATGCAGTGTAGAGGGGAATTTCTGTTCCACTGTGGGTTTGGTAAAACAGCAGAGCAAACACTAGATTTGGGCCTTAAGAGCCAGTTTGATGTAGTGGTTAAGTGTGTGGACTCTAATCTGGGAGAACTGGGTTTGATTCCCCACTCCTCCACTTGCAGCTGCTGGATGACCTTGGGCAAGCCACAGTTCTGGTCAGAGCTGTTCTCTCAAGCACAGCTCTGGAAAGATCTCTCTCAGCCCTGTCTACCTGTTGTGGGGCGGGGAAGGGAAAGGAGTTTGTAAGACGCTCTGAGACTCCGAGTTAAGGGCGAGGTATAAATCCAGTCTCCTCCTCCTCCTCTTCTTCTTCTTCTGCCTCGACTCGAACACTGTGAAAATCCAGAGTGGCAGCCAAATGTGGAAAGGGCCATTAAGAGGTTTCATGCAGAATTTAAACATCCCTGTCCCATAACCACAATAAGTGGAGAAAAGGGGCTCAGGAAAGTTGTGTGTCATCTTGCAGAAAAGGGGCTCAGGAAAGTTGTGTGTCCAAGTGCCATCGAGTCCCTTCCAACTGTGTGGACCCTCTCAATTAATGACCTCCAAAACACCCTACAGTTAACAGCCTTGCTCAGGTCTTGCAGATCGTGGGCCGTGGCTTCCTTGATTGAGTCAATCTATCTCATGTTCCTACTGCCGTCAACGGTTTCCCAGCATTGCTGTCTTTTTCCAGTGAGTCTCGTCTTCTCATAATGTAAAGGTAAAGGTTTCCCTTGCTCGAAAGCCAGTCGAATCTGACTCTAGGGTTGCGGGGCTCATCTCCGTTTCCAATCTGAAGAACCAGCGCTGTCCGAAGACATTTCCGTGGTCACGTGGCCAGCATGACTAAACACCAAGGTGCACGGAACGCTGTTATCTTCCCACTGGAGTGGTACCTATTTATCTACTTGCAATTTCTTGCTTTCGAACTGCTAGGTTGGCAGGATAATGTACTCATAATGTACCAAAGTACAATTGTAGAAAGTACAACAGCCTCACTTTAGTCAGTCATTTTAGCTCCTGGGGAGAGGTCAGGCTTGATTTGGTCTAGCACCCCGTTATTTGTCTTTCTGGTCGTCCACGGTACCAATAAAACTCCCTTCTAACGGAATCAACTTTCCTCTTCCTGTCTGCTTTCTTCACTGTCCAACTTTCGCACCCATACACATTAATGGGGGATACCACGGCATGAATTAACTTGATTCGGTTAGCAATCATTTCAGCCTGCTTTGCTTGTTCCCAGGATGCCGTTTGGCTGCATCGGTCTGCGAGATGAAAAGAACTATAACAGCCTGTCTGACATCACCGAGAAGTATGAGATCGGGCAGCTGCTGCGGGCGTAAGTAGGCACCCTCCTAGCTCTTGGGGCTGCTCCTAGGAAGCAGTGCATATGCAAACAGCCAAGGAACAGGGAGTCTTGGGAGGTGCAGGGTTAAGGGGGTCTGGGTCTTACCTTCTTCTCCTGTCGTTTGAAACACCCACCAATAGTTGCACGCTGCCACGCAAAAAACACTTCCAGTGTTCCTGGCATGGCCCCCTTCTTTCTCTCTTGTGGCTAAATGGTACAGTCACGAGGCCTCTCGCACGGCTCTACCAACACAGAGAACATGCCACCCTCCTTCCCACTGGCTTACCCTAAACAGCAGGACATTCTGAATGGGGCAGACCTAGGGTTGCCAACCTCTGGACACTGGCTGGAGATCTCCTGGGATTACGACTGATCTCCAGGCGACAGAGATTAGTTCACCTGGAGAAAATGACCACTTTCGAAGGTGGACTCTATGGCATTGTGCTATGCTGAGGCCCCTCCCCTCCCCAAACCCCACCCTCCTCAGGCTCCACCCCCCAAAATCTCCAGGTATTTTCCAACACAGAACTGGCAATCATAGAAAGAGCTCTGCTCCTCGTTAGGGTTGCCCGGGACTTTTTGGCATGCACACAAAGCACATGCCACGATGATGTCACCTGGAAGTGATGTCACTGTGCAGGACACATTGTGGAGGGATGCTCTAGTGTTTGAGGGAAAACTCTATGATAAACATAGAGTTTTTTCCTCAAATGCTAGAGTGTCTCCCGCACAACATTCTCTGGGTGATGTCATTGCGTCGGGCACATTGGCGCAGATGGGGCTCTTTGGGGGTGGGGCTCCCCCACCAGTTGTCTGGGCAGCGATGAATTGGTCCCCCCCCCCAAAAAAATGGGTAAACCCATTGGGGGAATGGCAACTTTACTCCTCATACATCTCACCCACAACCATGTTCACTTTCTGTCCCGACATGGATCTCCATCGCTCTCCGTTCCCTGCCATTGATCTGCCAGCCACTGCTGCGGTTTTCAGCACCTAGCACACACAGCACGTTGTCGTAGCCACTAGTTCGTGTGCTGGTAGTTCCCATTTCAGCCCATGGCCGGTCAGCCATTTTGCCAGAAGTGAGAGAGGAAGGAAAAAGCATTGCATGGCCAAAGTGGGCCTGACTATTGTGAGAGACAACAGCAAGCCAGTTTGGTGTAGTGGTTGAGTGCGCGGACTCTAATCTGGGAGAACCGGGTTTGATTCCCCACTCCTCCACTTGCACCTGGCTGGATGACCTTGGGCAAGCCATAGTTCTGGCGCAGCTGTTCTTGAAAAAGAGCAGTTTTTGTCAGAGCTCTCTCAGCCCCACCTCCCTCACAGGGTGATCCGTCCCCCTGGAGAAAACGGCTGCTTTGGAGGGTGGACTCAATGGCATTACACTCTGCTAAATTCCCTCCTCTCCCAAATCCCACTAGGGTTGCCAATCCCCAGTTGAGGGCAGGGGATCCCCTGGTTTGGAGCTCCACCCCCCACTTCAGGGCTGTCAGAAAGTGGGGAGGATGGCTCCATAAGGTATAATGGAGAATTAATCGGTGGGTATCTGGGGCTCTGGGGGGGCTGCTTTTTGAGGTAGAGGCACCATATTTTCAGCACAGCTGGTGGTGCCTCTCCTGAAACAAACCCCCAAGTTTCAAAAAGATTGGACCAGGAAGTCTAATTCTATGAGCTCCAAAAGAAGGTGCCCACATCCTCCATTATTTCTAATGGAGGGAAAGCATTTAAAATGATTTTAAAAGGAATGCTTAAATGTGACAGTCAAAACTCCCTTCTGGTTTGTTGGCCTCACCTGGCAACCCTAGTGACATCATAAAAATGCTCCTGGCTCCACCCCAAGGTCTCCTGGCTCCACCCCCACAGTCACCAGATATTTCCTGAGTTGGACCTGGCAACCCTAAATCCCACCCTCCCCAGGTTCCACCCCTGAAATCTCCTGATATTTCCTAACCCAGAGCTGGCAACTCAAGGGTATCCCCTTCCAGGAACAGCAGCACCTATGACCAGTGTCTCAGCAGCCCATTCGATAGGCCAAACCAGCCGACGTCCTTCACACAACACAATTTGTTCTCAAGCTTGTCCCAGAGTCTCTAATTTGTTTCCTTTGACCACAAACCCATTGTTAATGGGTATTTGCCATGACAGATTCATGGAACATCCATGTTTAAAGGCAGTATGCCACTGGGATAAACCTTAAACAATACTGTGATCTTCCAAAAAATATCTGTCTGTCCACTGTAGGCAATAGGGTATGGGCTTAGGTGGACTTTTGGCTTGACCCAGCAATGGATCAATTTTTTGTTTTTTCTATCTTCCGCTATCCCACAGGAAGGAGTTCTGTGAGATCTGCGTGGCCCGCGAACGCCAGACAGATAGACTGTACATCTGCAAGAAGTTCTTTAAGAAGGATGGGCGCAAGGTGCGACGGGCGGCTAAGAATGAAATCCTCATCCTGAAGATGTAGGTGCCCGCCATAGGTGTGCGTGCAAGCATGTGCCGGTCTGCCCTCGCTCAGGGGGCGTACATCACGCCCGCAGGTGCCCCAATCAATGCAAAAAACTTGCCGTGCGTGCCTCTGTTCTGCTGAGGAACCTGGCGGCACTGCTGCCGTAAATAATGGCCCTCTCTGCAGCTTGTTTTGAGCAGCTGCCAAGCCGATAAGATGTTTAATGAGCTAATGGTCACTGAGTTACAGTTAAGCTTCTGGGTAAATGTTCAGCCACAGAAGTAAGAGGAGGGGCTGGAGAGCGGGAGAGAGAGAGAGAGAGAGATAGAGGAGAGATTTTTAAACACTGGAGGAAAATGGAAGACATTCAGGGAAGAACATCTGGCACGGAAATAAAGTTGCCAACTGCTTTCCAACCCCTACCAAACAAGCCTCCTGTGCCTTTACCAACTGCACAATAGGTGGAAACCCCACTGGTAAAGCTTTCCCCATCACTGCAATAGGGTTGCCAACCTCCTGGTGGAATGAAAAACCGTAAGAACACCGTGAAGCAAGCTAACTAACAATATATTGCATGTGTTATAATAAAACAATTTAATCCAACATGTAGTGAATTATTTTTTTCCCATCCCCCTGGGGGGAGGGGTTTTGATTGATTTTTTTTTAGACTACAAAACCACAACAGAAAATATAGGAAAGGGAACTACATCTAAGGAATAAAGAAAAAAGACCCACAACTAACTAAAAACCCAAGAGTAGGAGATCATTCATCATCTTAACACCATGCTATTTTCAAAAAGCTACTAATAATACAATGAATTTAGTCAGTTATGCTAGATTAATTATCATTTAACCATCCCTTCAACTGTTTAAAGAAGTTCCCAGAGCATCCCCAAGTTATTTCAACATTTTTTCAGGCACAAATCAGAGTTCTTCAGCCCTTATTTATTCTTATCTTTTCTAATCCTCAATTTATATGGGCTTTGGGGGGCAGCCGCCCCCTTTTCAGAGGGGGAGTCCTCGTCCGAAGACCCCGAGCCCAACTCGCCATCAGATTTGCTTTCTTTTTCCTCCCCTTTGCCCTCTTCTGGTTCCCCAAGCTGTGTCCGCAGAAATTCCTGTGCTTTAAAAACAGAGTCAATCTTTTCTTTTTTATCATTGAGCTTGAAAATGATGCCTTCTGGGGTTAACCACCTGTAACT